TCTCTCTCTGTGTCTCTCTCTGTCTCTCTCTCTCTGTCTTGCTCTTTGTGTCTGTCTCTCTGTGTCTCTCTCTGTGTGTGTGTGTCTCTCTCTCTGTGTCTCTCTCTGTCTCTGTCTCTGTCTCTCTCTGTCTCTCTCTCTGTGTTATTGAAATATTTAAAAATAATCACCTACACTACAAAAAAGGATTATCTATACTACAGTCTACAATGTTCTATTAAACTAAAAATTAGACCCACTAATAATACCTAATTAATAAACTTCACTATTGGTAGTGGTTTGTGTGGTTGTTCTTTTCTGTGTCTATCAATCAATGTCTTCTTTTGATCTTTAAGAGTATCCTCCAGGAGAGGAGGAGTAATGATTCCAGTATAAATCTCAATATATTCAAGTGATGGATGGATGAAGATAGTTTCATATAAATGTTGTACTAGTTCTATCCAGTTAGGTTGAGATGACTTATCATTAATATACCAACACTCTATCTTCAGTAGTCTGATGGTTGCATGTGACTGTAACATGTTAGTAACAGCAGGTAGTACCTGTTCATAAAACAATGGTGTCATTATTTGTTTCTTTTCTTCCTCACTACAGTTACTGTACGACTGATCTGGTTCAAAGTTCACTTCAAGTTCTGTGAGATTGTTCTTTTGAGAGATGACATTAATAAAAGTTCTTATCTCTTCATTCAGTGGAATGGATACACTCAACTGCTGTAGACTGGTGTTGTGTCTCAGACCAGTTGTTAGGAAAGACAGGAATGAACTGGGAATGTGAGTATTCAATTCAAGCCATTTACTATTAATCTTAAGGTATTTCAGTGTTTGGTTTTGTGTTAGCATATCTTGTAGACTAGTACCCATACTGCTGGTATATACTCTCTCCTTCTTTATCTCCACACTCAGAGCTTTAAGTGTAGTATTGGTTTGTAGAATAGTAAATAGTTCAGTAGCACTCTCAGCTGTGTCTAGTGGTAAAGTAAGTGTATTTATACTGGGGTGAGAGAGAAATAGAAGATGTGGTGGGTATGGATGTGGTGGGTATGGATAACATAGTATCAGACAGTGTAATCCTTTGATATGTGGAAGGAGTGATGATGTCATCAGTTTACTACTACTACTCCATCCTATCTCTAGAGCAGTCAGTGGTGTGTTCACATCTACTATATTCAGTGATGATTGCCGGACATTATGTATGTTCAGTGAAAGAGCTTGTAATGTGTTGTTGTCCTTTAGTAACTGCTCTATTACTCCATCAGGTAGAGGAGAAGCAAATGAATCATGTATTGTTAATGATGTTATTGTTTTATTTCTTGTTACTCCTCTAATGATGACACTGATAATGGTACTTGTTATTTTATTCGGTTCAATAGTACTTGCTCTATACTCAATCTTCATTTCTTGTAGTGTTGAATTCATTTCTATACATTTCTCAAGTTCAGTGCACTTGTCTGTGTAGTATGTATTGTCAACTGTTGGTATAGTAGGCACATGGTCTATTATTAAGTGCAGTATCTTCAATTGAGGAAGATTGAGGAACTGTAACAATACAAGACAGGGAGCATATTGACCTTGAAGTAATACACAGTAGCACTCCTGAATATTGTATAGAAGTGATGGTTGTAATAATTTTTGTATTAATTCATCAGTGGGGTTCTTTAACCTTACCTCCAGTCTCTTACACTGGGTCTGTAGTGAGACTGATAATGACTGGTGCTTATATACATTCCCCAGGTGCAAGTGATTCCATTTTGTGATGGAATTGTTTATACAATAACTGAGACACAACCAGTCAAACAATGATGATGATAATGATACTCTATATAATCTATTCAGACACAGTGAGTGGTTGCTGATGGATTGTGCTAATACTTGACATAATGTTGTGTTCTGTGATTCATACAGGAGTTGAAGAAGAAGAATGGGAACATTGTCAAAATCATCAGAACTGATATGACCAGCTTCAATCTCAAGATTCTGATAGAAGTAGGAGAATTGACAAGTCTCAAATCCAAACAATGGTCTCCTCTTACACTGTAAGTCAAGTTGTTGTTTATTAAAATACTGTTGATAGCTCTCATGTTCAAGGTGAGTTAGACCTGCCACAAACCTCAGACACATTCGAAAGTGATCATCATCAAAGTGATCCTTAAACACTTCCTCTGTCTTCATCTCATGCTTAGCTATCCACCATGCAGCTAGAAATTCCTGTATACTCAAGTGAAGAAACTGATACTCCTTTTTAGAATATTCCATAAATGCTGTCATCAATCCAAGATAGTCTTCCTTGACTGCCTCACTCAGTGACTGTAGTTGATGTGAAGAGAATGTCATTCTTGTATTAGCCAGGTTAGTATAAGCTAATTGACACATCTCTTGTAAAGGCTTAGCTAATTGTGATGGTAATGAAGAAAGACTACCTAAAGTATATGGGTTAATGTTATGTCTTGGTTTTATTTCCACATGTCTTCTGATAGTTTGTAGGATAAAGTTCTCATAGAGTTGAGTGAGTGTTGTTGGTAAGTGTCCTCCTTCCTTACAATAAACTAAGATGACCATGGAACAGACTAGTGGTACATAACACAATGATTGGACATCATTTTGTACTTCAAGATCATTAATGAGTTTCACTGCTAGTTGTGAGTCCTTACTGCTTTGAGTAGTTGTGAAATGTGATCTGTATCCCCTCCAACCAGTGTTTTCATCAATGAGTTCTTGTGCTAGTTTTGTATCTTTTTGAAGTGTTTGTATAATTACTGTTGATATTTCTTCCTCAGAAAACCCAATGACCTGAACATGTCTACTGAGAGTATCCATTTTCAAAAGTGAAGAGGAGGCATAGCTACGAGACGTAACAATTACTGAACATTGGTCTAACTTCTCTTTACAAATGATACTAGCAGCTAATGAAGACTGTCGGAGTTGTTCACTTAGTTCATCCCAACCATCAAAGATTATCAGTAATCCTTCTCCATTCCTCTTCTCAAACCATTCAGTTACCATAGGAACTTCATAACGTTGACGCACAAACAGTTCAGCTAGTGTAGTAGCTGTAGCTATCTTGCTATTCCTTAAAGGACAGTAAAGTACCAAGTCATACTGTTGGTGTGGAAGTGGTCCTTCAGACCACATATTTAACAGTTTACGACAGAGTGTGGTCTTGCCAATACCAGGAGGACCATCTATTACTACTCTGAGAGACAGAAAACTATCTGTGGGTTGGAGAACATCTTCAACACTTATCTCTTTGTTTCCAGATAGCTTAACTGTTTTATCAACTTGTCCTCTTAGCAGATGCCAAGCTGATTCTGCTTGTGTGCTGGAGTCTTGTTTTTCTACTAGTGCTAGTCTTCCATAATAATAATCTTTTCCAATTCTTGGTGGCCAGTCTGTAGCAACAATAGGTTGGTGTTTGTAGTGTTGTCTCATATTGTCAGCATATCCTTGAACATCATCAGGTATTGAACTAATGGATGTGACATTATCAGGTATAGACTGACCTAATGTATTGAGATATAATGACTATATTGATCACTGATAATGTACACACACACACACTCACCTAACTGGTGTAATATAGAGGTAGCAATATCTGTTAGTATACAATGTTGTTGGTTTATTAATACATGACATATATCAATAAGATACTGCTCTGGATTATTAAGTTTGGCTTTCAACTCTCCCTCTATTGCATTCACAAGTTTACTAGATTTCTCATAATTAGTTACTCCTAATACATGCACCTCCTCTTTAGTTTGTTGTGGTATCAGTTCTTTAGCATACAGTGCATCAGTTACATTGTATAGATTCACACTAATAGCATGAACTAATTTATCAGAATGAGTCCTTAATATATCCTTTGGATTACCTGCAGTAGTGTATCAGTTAATGAGTGTTGTATTAAGTGTATGTTTACCTGATGTAGTACTAGTAACAGGTTTATTAATTATAGAAACTGATGATGATACAGTAGATACCACTGGTGCAGTACTAGTAGGAGCATCAGTATTACCTATATATATTATAGTTGATAGTAAATTTTAATATGTGTGTCATTTTTGTCATTATAAGTGAATCCCCAATCTTCTGCAGTTGAATGAACTCTTTCAATTGGTTCTATTATATGATTTACGTTATAGATAAACTACAGATGTTGAGGGTTACTGGATATACAGTAACACGAAACAGCTGTAGTTTATCTGGTTTGAGTGTGTGGGTATGAAGGCACTTCTAACTAGGACTAGGCAAATTATGCTTCAATTTCTGCCTATTAGTATTATGCTTTTAGGCACTGCCCCAGAATTTATCCTATTATACTCATAGCTTAAGCTTTACGCTATGAAGTTACATGCATGTATCTATTATATATAACATGTATATATTATAATTGTAATAAAAATAATATTGTAATAATGCCAGAATCTGAAATATTTTTTGAAAGGCTTTGAATCACTGGAACTAAAATACTCTAAGTCATTGGCCTCATCCAGCTTTGCCCAGGCACAAGGACTAGTTGCACTAGCCTAGTACTGTATAGCGGGTAAATTTGGAGGGGCTAAATATTGGCAAATTGTTAAATTTTGGTGATTGGCGGATTTTTAATTTGGCGAATTTGTGGCCACATGTCATTGAGCATGCATGTAATAGCTCAAAATGGCGGATTTTTATTTTGGCGAATGGCTATCAAAACACTAAATTTGCCGAATTTAATCCCCTCCAAAATTACCCACTATACGGTACTTGCTGTAGTGAATTGAAGTCATATGGTCAGGGGTATAGGGTCAGAAATTTTTGACCCATTATGCTCCAATTATGCTAGTATATTTTGCCTAGCCCTACTTTTAACTAGTCTCCACTATATAAACTCATGGAGGTGCCTTTGATACACCCACACACTGTAGTACAAATAATGGATAAACACCTTTAAACATAATTATTCATGAAGACATAGTTATGACAAGTGGTTAAATAGGCTCAAGCAAATATTCTGTTGAATGGCTTCCATGTAGCTAGCCTTTGGAAACCTCATTCATATCATTAACATCAAACAGAATTATTGATGAGTAGTTTAAAGTACAATCTGCTAACGAATGTTTATTTTTAGTGATATACCTGATGTTGTAGTGCCATTATTACTGTCATTATGAGTGGGTTTATTTCCTTCATCTGGTGTGGAGTCCTCAGTTCCTTTGGTATCTATCATATGAACTATCAACTTAGTTGTATCATTAAGAGTATGTTATGTTTACCTGATGTAGTACTAGTAACAGGTTTATTAATTACAGAAACTGATGATGATACAGTAGATACTACTGGTACAGTACTAGTAGGAGCATCAGTATTACCTATTATACATTTAATATAATTATTAATATAAATACATGATCATACCTCCTGTACATTGATGTACTTTGTACTGA